TATTGTTTAAAAAAATCGGTGTTAAGCCCCCGCAAAATACGCACCAGAATATTGCAGACATGAAACTCCAAGTTGTGCAATGAATGTAAGGTTTATATATATATATAATATATATATATATATATATATATATATATAACAAGAGTTTTTCTTTTTTCCTGTTTAGGATTGGGCTTCCGGTTCCTTCTAATGTCTTCTGATTATCTTTCACTCGCAATATCACCTTGCGTCTAAGTGCTATTATCGCCTTGCTTTGAGGTGAAAAATTTATTAATATACATACATGCATGTATATATCAAATATGTGGTGCAGTTCAATTTATATTAAAATGAATCATTCATACAAAATATTAGTAGATTAGTAAAGTTATTGATATAAAATGGCGAAATCACTTTGCTAACAAATTTTTAAAGGTCATAACATTCATCGAGTGATTGGTAGGTTAATGCACCTACCAATCACTCGATGAATGTTATGATCCTTGTTTTAAAAAATTATACGCTGTATTAAGTCTTTCTTAAATACGCGAGTATTTTCGACTGTACATTCAGTCATCTTCAAGTATGGAAATTATTTTGTTTTTGGTAAAATTCAGGTAGCGTCCGAAACGAAAAAATATAATGCGAATCGAAATATGTTTTTTTGAAATGTGTTATTGATAACATTCATCGAGTGATTGGTAGGTTGATGCACCTATAAAATTTTGTTAGCGAAGGGATTTCGTCATTTTAACTTTACTAATCTACTTTTTGTACTGATGATTCATTGAATATATATATATATATATATATATATATATATATATATAAATATATATATGAAAAAAACCTATGTCAAAATTGCTATACAATTGCAGTCGTGTTTCGATGCATATCATATGTATCTCATCAGACGATTGTAAATTACTGGCAACTGAACTATTTATTTAGATTTGAAAACAAAGGACAATCTCTTTTTACAATAATCTAAATAAATCTAGTAAATCTAAATAAATCATTCACTCGCCAGTAATTTACAGTCGCCTGATGAGATGCATTGATATGCATTGAAAAAAGTGACTGCAATTATGTAGTGGTTTTGACTAAATTAAATAATATTGATCTACTTTGTATTGAGCCCTTTTTAAATTAAATGTTCCGAACGTTGGAATTGTACTCTATTCGTTCTCATCTTTCCTGTTATATATATATATATATATATATATATATATCAAGAAAAAAAACTAACACATCAGTGAAGAAGTTTTTCCTTCTTGATGCATATAATATTACTCAGTATATAAATACATTGAACTCTCTTCATGGATCTATCTTTTTAATATATTAAAAAAGAACTATTTTATTATCCTTCCCATTTACGGATTTGACATATCTATCTATCTATCTATCTATCTATCTATCTATCTCTCTCTCTCTCTCTCTCTCTCTCTCTCTCTATATATATATATATATATATATATATATATATATATATATATATAATATATAAAACATTTTTTGATGCAAATACGTTTTGCTGAAGTCGACGCACACAGTTTGGTGTTTAATTTCTAATACAATTTTCATAATGAACAAAAAATTCTATATAAAATTGAGCTTGTGATTTACACGGAAAGAAATAGTAATGTATAGCATAGACAAAACCTGAGGCTCGATTGAAGTAATCATACTTGTCTACATACATGCATATATATATATATATATATATATATATATATATATATATATATATATATATATATATATGATTTTTTGTGTGCTCGTCTGCGGATAGGTGGGTAGGAAGAATGATGACGATATAATTCAGTTTAATTTCGAATTTCCTGCACAGAGTCTGGTTCGATGAAGGATGTTCTGCTTCTGTTTATTGCTTGTCATTTAAATCTACACTGAAAAATCAAATAATCTAAAATATAAAGAGATATCATGACAATAAAGGAATAGGTTTGAAAACAGAAGTTTATTCGTCTTTTTTATCATCGCCATAATCAATATTGTTTTTTTTTAAGCGCGTATATACAATTAACGTGATATCTCGCGAGATGTTTTCCATTCTAAAGATATATCTGATGTATTCGTAGGTTGAATACTGAAACTTGCTCATGTAAAAAAATTCCCAAATTCGTAGAAACTGAAAAGATCTCCATTCATTCATCGCACTGGGAATAACTTTCATCTTCTTTTATGTACCGTGTCCCTTCAAGACGTAGGCGATCATCGCCCTCCACATCTTCCTGTCTCGTGTAGCTCTTAATAAGTTTTGTCTCTTTTTGTTATTTGTCCCAAATCCTGTTCTATCATCCATTTACTCATATTCATTCGTATTCTTCTTTTATGTACCGTGTCCCTTCAGGGTATAGGCGGTCATGGCCCTCCACATCATCCTGTCCCTTGTAACTCTTAATACGTTTTGTCTTTTTGTTATTTCTCCCGAACCCTGTTCTATCATCAATTTACACAAGATCATCAAGTATACTGCTTTTTTCTCTCCCTTTTATACTCAATCTGTCCTGTGAAGATTAAGCGTAGCCCAATGTCTTTAATATGTATTTCACAGTGCGCAGTTAAGTCATATAATATAAATAGCCCGACAAATTCTGACGACTCGCGGTGTCTAATGATCCCATTGTGATGTCAAAATGATCTTCGGAGTTTTTAATCCGTTGGTCCCCATTATGAATTAGGACATTTTTTGCGCTAATAGATATGTTTTTTCTTCTTCTGTTAGGTCTGAATATATAGTAGCAAACTCTAGGGCAGTCATGGATAGATCTCTTGATATTGACTGGTAGTAATATCAAACTGTACTAGAGTGCAATTTGGCTTGTTAAACCATTTATTTATATTAAAAAGCCTAACTGCGCGCCGTGAAATAGATATTTAAACATCGGACTATACAGAAATGATGGCCTCGTGGTAGTGAGGAGGTCTACTAATTTTAAAATAGATAAAATTAGAAAGATAATACATAGAAATAGATAATGCATCAGAAACCTAGATTTAAAAACTATGGTAAACACAAAATTGAAAAGGGTAAACTTCGTCGACATAACATTTGACGTAATAAATAAAATATACCTACTCTACAGAAAACCTAATAATAATGCCTTGTATGTACACCCCAGGTTAAACCATCCTTCCTCTATAATTAAACACATACTCTCATCAATTGAGAAAGAAATTAGTATGAATTCCGCTAATGAAGAAATATTTTTATATTTGTAATTTTTACAATCAAGCTCTAAAATATAGTGGCGACAAACACCTTAACATCAATTATATAAAAAATAATAGTACAACCAGAGGAAAAACAGTAAAAGAAAAATAATTTGGTAACCGCCCCACCCCCAATTCAACCAGAT